ACATGCTGATCCATCTTGCTGGCTCCTCAGTTGCCTTCTTGATGCAAACCCTGTATATAAATTTTAGATAATTTTGCTGACCATTAGACTCATATGTAAATGTACTGATTAGAAATCTCCATTCTGGGCTGGAGAGATGGCTTAGTGGCTAAGAGTAACTGACTGCTCTTTCAGAGGAGCTGGGTTCAATTCCCATCATCCACAAATGTCTGTAACTCCAGTTCTAGGGGACTGACACCAACAACACAACACTGATTCACATAAAATAAAAAAAATAAATTAAAAAAAGAAATTTCCATTCAGAGCTGGGTAGTGGTAGCACATGCCTTTAATCCCAGCACTTAGGAGGCAGAGGTAGGCAAATCTCTGTGAGTTCGTGCAGCCTGGTCTACAGAGCTAGTTCTAGGACAGCAGCTAGGACTGTTACACAGAGAAACCCTGTCTTGAAAACAACAACAAAAACAAAATAAAAGAAAAACCTCCATTCAGATATAATGCAGGAACCTCAAAGCCATAATGCCCATATTTTGTGTCTATGAATATAAAAATAAGCTACCCATCTCCCTATGCCAACCAAATCTATCCATCCAGCTAAGCAAGAATCTTGCTGCTGACCATAAGTGACTATCCCCTTTACAATTCTCTAGTTAACTAAGCGTTAGCCCTTCTAGTCTTCTTTAAATTTCGTTAGGCAAGTTCACCCTTTCCACTCCTACTCCCATCACCCCAGTTTAGTTTTTAGCTGAGAACTGCAACCAACTGTCAAGTTGTGTGACAGTTTTAATTATTTTGAACCCAAGTGTCACAGTCATTAACCTCAGATCATACTAGTCTGAGAATATGAACTTACTCGGGAATGAAATAAAATGCCATCATATTTGCAAAGTCATGCCTACCCCACTCCCCAACCTAAGTTGTTTTAATAGAGTGTGATGGTTTGGTTGTGGTTTGCTCCCCAAGGGCCAGCCTAAGCTACGCAGCAAGTTTGAAGACAGTCTGGGCCACATGAGCTTCTGAGAAAAACAAAACAAGGAGGTTAGAGAGATGGCTCAGAAGTTAAAAGCACTGGCTGTTCTTCCAGAGGTCCCTGAGTTCAATTCCCAGCAACCACATGGTGACTCACAACCATCTATAAGATCTGGTGCCTTCTTCTAGTCTGCAGGCAGAACACTTATATATATAATAAATAAATCTTAAAAAAAATCAAAACAAGCCGGGCATTGGTGGCACAAGCCTTTAATCCCAGCACTCGGGAGGCAGAAGCAGGCGGATCTCTGTGAGTTCGTGGCCAGCCTGGTCTCCAGAGCAATTGCCAGGATAGGCTCCAAAGCTACACAGAGAAATCCTGTCTCAAAAAAAAAAAATCAAAACAGAAACAAAGGCAAAAAACAAGAATAGCCAAGTGATGGTAGCACAAGCCTTTAATCTCAGCACTTGAGAGGTAGAGGCAGGCCGATCTCTGCCAGTTCGAGGCCAGCAAGTTCCAGGATGGCCTCCAAAGCTACAAAGAAGTCCTGTCTCAAAGAAAACAAAACAAAAGAAATACATAAATAGATGAACTCTGAAAAACATTGAACATGCTCTCGTCCTGCAGCATCAATTATCCAGTTAGGATTCATTCTTTATGCAAAAATAAACAAGAATATCCATTTCATTAATATGAAATTTTTTTTTCATCTTTCATAAATAGTAAAATTGTATGTATGGTAAAGATTTGCTTAAACACATTTTGTTATGCTTTATCATCTGTAAATGTTTGATTTGCCTACCTATTTTATATAAATATTTTCCCAGGATCATACAAATTTCTTGGGTGAAACAGTGTTGCAAAGTAAAAAAAAAGTTAAGAAACCCTGATCTAAAATACAAACACATATAAATTAAAATTAAAAATAAAGTCAATATGTTGACAAAGCAACACAAAGCAAAGTAAGCTGAAATTCATAATTGGGAGGAACACACACACACACACACACACACACACACACACACACACACACACACACACACACTCCCAAGCACACAGGGTTTCACATGGAATACATATTGGGTAAGTTGCTTGTAGAGATTCAGCTTTACTTTTCCAGATGGCTACATGCACTTGTCCTAAATCATTTGTTGAATAATCTATTTTTTTTCCACACTGATATGAAATGACAGTTATATCTTTAAACTAGGCTTTCATACAAGTTATTTTCCAAATAATTTCAATCTATCCCACTACCTCCCTATATGCAAGGCCTTATTATATCTTTGAAGTTCTTTTTTTTCCCATACAATTCCAACCTTAGCCACACCTGGGTGACAGTTGTGACCATGGGATATCCCCTCGCATTACCTCATCACAGATGTGAGTCTGCAAAGGAAGATACTTGAGGTGTTGGCCTCAGGAGTCATGAGACAGTTCCTTGAGGGGTTGTAGAGACTATTTTAGGAAGGCTGGGTCACTCTGTGAATTTAGCACATCTCTGAACATAGCCTATGCAGTGTGCTTAGAGAAATAATAAAGTCTATGTTTCTAAGAAAGAGTTGTGCCAGTGGGTGTAGCCTTCATGCCTTAATGACATTCTTCTGATTCCATCAGAGAATGCATTTATTTGCAATAATTGGAATTTTTTTGTGTTGAAGTCAACAGCAAGATGTAGTGTAGTGTGTTGACAAAGAGAATGACCTCTTTGGTAGGAGGAGTAGATTCATGTTTCCTATTCTGATTTGACCTAAGCATGGAGGTTCAGCTCAACTTATTTGAGCCTCAATTTGCATCTGCATCTGTAGAAGGTAATTTGGGTATAAGACCATTCTATTTCCAGCCAAGTAGAAGACTTTGGCTGTGCAGTAGTGTTAGTTACTCCTCTGTTCATTTAAAACATTTTTAATGTTTTTGAGTCAGAGTCTCACTATGCTGCAGGCTGCTCTGGCCTGGACCTTGCCCTGTAGCCCAGGATGACCCATAACTAGTAATCATCATGGTTTGTCTTCCTGAGTGCTAGAAGTATGGGCATCATACCTCATTTGAAAACTTCCTCATGTTGATCCCTGGACACAAGGGAAAAAATTCTCCTGGTCAGAAATGAACAAGGCACAGGGATTATCTATGAAGTTCACAAAAGACAGGTGTTTATTAGGAAGAAGGATTGCAATGGAACCATAATATGAATTGAAGTAGAACATACCACTCTAATTCCAAAGTTGGAATGTGGGCTCTATGATGTAGTCCAACTCAACTGTGAGACTAGTCCTAGTGACTCCTTCTAGGTTGGGATGTGAATTACTTTGAATGGTGGTAGCATTTCCCAAATCCTTTTTCCTGTAATGACATTTAATTTAGAGTTATTGCAGATTTATTTTTTAGAAGACTTTTGCATATGATTAATACCTAATGTGTGGAAGCTGTGCCCATCTAGTTGCCTGGAAATCACCTAAGCCATAGTGCTTTTAAGGTGCCTTACTGGTGCCACTCTAATCCTGTGGAAAACAACACAACTCTTTGATGGGTTCTTTAAATCCTAGTTTTGAAAAAGGTGTATAAATGTTTAAAACATTAGAATCAATGTGTTCACCATGGATCTCCACCACTAGGCCAAGAGGTGATGGATCAACGGCTTCAGAAAGGTGAGGTTTTTTGTTTGTTTGTTTTTCGAGACAGGGTTTCTCTGTGTAGCTTTGGAGCCTGCCCTAGAACTAGCTCTGTGGACTAGGCTAGTCTTGAACTCACAGATATCTGCCTACCTCTTCCTCCTGAGTGCTGGCATTAAAGTGGGCACCACCTGGCTAGAAATGTGAGGTTTAGTCACAGTTGAAGATAAGACAACACCTTCTTTGGATGTGAGTGGGAAAAGAAGACTAATCCTTAAAAGTTAGCACTCAAGGTTAAAAGTCTCCATTCCCCCCCAAAAAAGGTTAATGGGATAACTTGGATAATACAGACCTACAGAAGGTTACAATGCTGGATAGTAACAGGTCAAGAATAGAAACATGGTTATGGTGAACTAAGGGGAGCTTAAGAAACACTTCCTGGCAAATAGCATGTGAAAGGAGGGCATGATAAGGACTCATGATCATGTGACACTGAATTTATAGCACAAGGCATTAATCAGAGGTCTCTCTACATAAATTGCTATACATTTACTTTTCCATAGATTGAAAGAAAAATGTCTGCCCATTCAATTTCTGTCAAGTAAGAAATGAAAGACAATAAGGTGGTTTATGACTAGTTTAAACTTTACTGGAAGGTAAAAATAAACTAAATTTTATTTATACAAAGATATTATTTCTATCCATCCCATGGTGCAGTGGTCTCTTGAGGTAATGCTCAAGACTATCACTTGAACTACTTTTCATGTCAGAGGGGTGAGCATTCTGGTCTTTTAGGACTGAGCGATAAGCATAACTTAATTCATTGTACATCTAAGGTCAAGGAATAGTTCAGTGGAATAGTTCTTTGTTAGGGTGAAGGCAAACAAATGTACTGAGTACCTGATAACTGTGCTGAAAGTTTAAGCTTTTGTTTAGCAGAGAAAAAGGTTTATTGATAGAAAGAATATATTATACAAGTTGTCTTCTTTCCCAATTAATTTTCTTGAGTGGTCTCCTGAAGGATTTAGATCAGACTTCTTATTCAGGTAGCAGAGGCTGCCACCCTCTTTGTGCTGGGTTACACTAAGTAATTAATCCTCTGAGTATGGGATCTGTGTGTTTACATGGTTTTGTGGTGTTGTTTATGAAAAGGAACTAACTAAACATTTCCAATGATGTTGGATCCCCAGCATCTCGAGTATGGTATGCATAGAAGTGATTCAATAAAAGTTTGGGGTTGGTGATGAGTCAGTGCGCAGGAATTCCACATTAAGTCACAATTGGCTTTGTGCTGGACAGCACATATCATTTGGTGTAATCAGGCACAGAGGAGAACAAGTGTTTCTTGTAAAAACAACACAGCACCTGATCACCCATTTGTGACCGAACAGTACTTCTGTAATCCCAGGACTAGCTTTGTCCCGATGTCTATCCAAGAGAAAATATCCACAGTAGATTTGATGGAGAGCCTTAGGGAAGAACTCACCTGTTTCATCTGCTTGGACTATTTCAGCGGTCCAGTGACCACCGAGTGTGGGCACAGCTTTTGTCTGATGTGTTTGCTCAAGAGCTGGGAGGAGCATAACACACCTTTATCTTGTCCGGAGTGCTGGAGGACTTTGGGATCCCCTCATTTCCAAGCCAATGAAAGACTAGGGAGACTGGCTAGCATTGGCAGGCAGCTAAGATCCCAGGTCCTGCAGAACGAGGATGAGCAGAGCAGCTGTGGGAGAACACCAGGAGCCAGTTGGGTGTTCTCTGATGATGAACAGAGTGTAATTAATTTCTCAACACAATGTCATGGGATCAACAGGACATATTTCTCAAGCGAGGCTGAGGAGCAACACAAAGTAAGTTGGGTGGCTCACAGTCAATCTTGGAGCACAGAACTGGTTTGATCTCTTAATTCTCATAGTGGCCTCTGTTGGTGACAGCCATAGGCATAGGCATACATCTTCCAGTAGTTCACCACACACTAGCTTGGATCCTGCTTACACTCTTTCTTTGAGAGTCTCAGTCATCTTTCTAGTGACTAGTTTTCCTGATCTTTGCAACACTGGGTACTCTGCTGTTTGCCAAGGGGTTTGTTTCTATTGTAGGAAAAACTCCAGGATATCATCAACCTTTTACGGAAAAAAAAGAAGGAAGCTCAGACCATACTGAATCATGAGAAGGAGCGAGTGATGCTGTGTAAGGTCAGTGTCTGTCTGATGTCTGATCTTGTGTGTGTGGTACCTGGTGAAATGTCAGGGGGAAGGAACATTTTGAGTCCTGCTTTGGGGTTTCCCTGCCTCTGTGTGTTCACCTGGGAAGATCACAGTTCTGCTCAAATTCTCTCAGCACAGGTAGATTGATGTTTCCTTGTTTATCTTCCTGGTCTAGCCTCTGTGATGAATCTGATTAATACTTAAAATATAAGCAACAGATTTGCAAGACAGGATGGAAGCCAGTTTTAAAAATGAGTCTTTCAAATGTTTAGGGAAAAATTGCATGCAGATGAAAGGCAAGTAAAGCGGAAGGGACAATAATGGCAAAATAGTAGATTGAATCATACTGGAACGAATGCCTAAGGTTAGTCACAGATTTGGACTTGAATTGCCTAGTAGTTTAAGCAAAGAATTAAACTTTCAATATGACACAGGGGGAGGTGGCGCAGTGGGTAAAATCAATTGTCATGCAAGCCCGATGACCTGAGTTTGGATATACAGATAAAAACTAGAAGTACAAGTATTTGTAACCCCTTGTTGGAGGCAGAGCCATGACAATCCCCAGAACTCATAGACAGGCTAGCTCGCTATACACAGCAGTGAACAAGGAGACCCTGTCTCTCTCTCTCTCTCTCTCTCTCTCTCTCTCTCTCTCTCACACACACACACACACACACACACACACACATACACACACACACACACACACACACACCCATGCATCCATGAGCTATTGTATACTCATGCCCTCAGAGTGAATATTTGAATTTCCCAATAGACTCTGAGGAATTTGTTTGAGGCAGGTTCTTTCTATGTATCCCAGGCTAGACTCGAACTGATTTTTTTTTCCCCTGTCTTAGCCCCTCAAGTTGCTGGGGTTTCAGGTGTGGTGTACCACCATTTGTGGCAGACTTTGAGTTCTTTTCTTATTTGTTTTGTTAGTTGTTGTCTTGCTTCATGATTCTGGCTGGCCAGGAACTCCCTTTGTAGATGAACTGGCTGACCTTAAATTTTGTAGCCATCCTCCTGCCTCTGTCTCCTGAGTGTTGGGTTTTCCAGTCATCTGCCACCAACCTGGCTTAGATCTAGAAGTTAGGTGCAACTCTGTGATAAATTTCTAGTATGGTATCTGATGCCAAATATTAAAATCAATATTTTAAAACATAATAATATGACTAATTTATATAACATAATAAATATTATATAATTATATAATCATATAACTATGATTATATAATTATATAATATATAACAATCATATGATATTATTTATATAATATAAATAAAATGTCTAATAATGTACATATACATCTTTCATGATTTTTCTCCTTTTAAGTTCATTTTCATAATTTTCCACCTTTTAATTTTAATTTTATTTTCAAAATTTTTCCTCTTTTAAATTTCATTTTATTTTCACCAGGTGTAGTGGCATACACCGTTAATCCCAGCACTTGGCAAAGGCAAGTGGATCTCTGTGAGTTCAAGGCTAGCCTGGCCTGCATAGTAAGTTCCAGGACAGCCAGAGCTACATAGTGAGACCATCTCAAAACAAGCAAACAAACAAACAAATAAACAAAAAACCCCAAAAGACAATTGAAAAAATGTATTTAACTTTACTTTGTGTATTGGTGTGAAGGTATCAGATCTGTTGGAAATGAAGTAACAGACAGTTATGAACTGCTGTGTGGGTGCTGGGAATTGAACCAGGGTCCTCTGGAAGAACAGCCAGTGACCTTAACCACTGAGATATCTCTCTAGCTCATAAAAGACATTTTTTCCATTCATTTATTTAGCTCATAAATAAAGTCATGCACAATTATGATACATAATACAGTATGTTCACAATGGCATGGCTAAATTAAACCAATTAACATGTTATATCACACATATTCATCATTTTTGTTATGAGAACACTTAAAGTATACTATCTCACAACTTTTAAAATATACCTTATTGTTATCAACCATATTTCTCATGCTCTCAGTAGACCTCAAGACATCACAGAGTCCATGCCTCTTGAAAAGACATTTATTTTTGAAATTTTATTTTCATTCAGTGCTGATGACTACATGTCATACTTTTTGATTTGTTTTCTTCATTTCTTGCAGTAGAAGAGACAGTTCTTAGAGTAGAAAATCTGCTGGTGTTGATTATTGTGGACATACACACTCAGAACTTCACTCTTCATTCATCTTGTCAGTATGTGGTATAGGTGACAGAAGTGTTTCTGTTAGTGTGTGTGTGTGTGTGTGTGTGTGACCATGTGTGCTTGTGCATGCTCGAGCATTTATGTGCACATGTGATAGTAGGAGGAGACAAAGACTTGCAAGCAGGTCGTCGTGTCTGAGTACATGAAGATGCACCAGTTCCTGAAGGAAGAGGAACAGCTACAGCTTCAGCTACTGGAGAAGGAGGAAAAGGAGAACATGAAGAAGCTGAGGGAAAACGAGATCCAGCTGACCCAGCAAGTCAGACGCCTCGGCAAAATGATTGGGCGGATTGAGTCCACCAGTCAGAACTTGACTTTAGAGGTGAGGCAAAATTCATTGGGACATTGGGAAAAATTAATGGAAGAAAGGAAATGAGTAGTGGCCCATAGTATTTCAAGTCTTAGGTAATACATATTTTTTGGTATTAATCTGAAAAATTAAGGTCTGTCTTAAAAGGTTTCCTAAAGAACTGATATTCTGGATAAGAAAATTTCTTGAAAAGGAGGAGAGGTGGATGGTGGTGATGCATATCTTTAATCCCAGCTCTCAGGAGGAAGAGGCAGGCAGATCTCTGTGAGTTTGAGGCCAGCCTGGTCTACAAAGCAAGTTCCAGGACAGGCTCCAACTCTGTTTCAGGTGGGGGGTGGGGGGGAGTGAGTTTGATTTCGGGAGAAATCAAACAAGGAAAAAAATACTGTTCACAAACAAGCCCAGGAATGACTGTAGTTTCTTCTGAACCTGCCTGTGCAATCTTAGCTTTGTCTGGTAATTCATTATTTATGTGTAAGCTGCTGGGCATGGTCAATCTGACTTTCTCAAAGGTCTAATGAACGTGAATACTAGTGTCATGTAGCCTAGAGGTGATTGTCATCCCCAAACAGACCTGGGGTAGCCAATAGTTACTAATCAGACCCATGGCAGTTAAGGAGATCTGCTTGTCCTACAGCTAACAGGTGGCAGAACCCATGTACTCTTTGTGCCGTGTCCATGGCCTGTCTTTTCCTACTGCCTCCCTAGGCTATTGCACTCATCAGCATTGTCTCAGTTATGAGCTGTAGGACCCACTTCAGCTTGAAGTTCATTCATTAGACTACAGAGTGCTGTCTAATTTTGTGTCTTCTGAATGACTAAATGATATCAGAAAATAGCATGGGCTTGTCTCAGCTCACCGGGTCATTTTTCTTTGCTCATCTTTGATTCTGGGACATGACGATAATATTTGGCTTCATTCTGAACAAGGGAAGGCGGCTTAGGAGTCCCAGTTTTCTCTGAGCATATATAGGCAGTTATGGTTGCTAGGGGTGGGAGAGACTTTTTTTTCAATGATGTAGCCACTAGTAAGATGCCCATATTCTGTAAATAATACTTTATCTATGCATCCATAAATAACCCTAATTAAACTCATTGAGTCATCAAACAAGTCATGTGAGTAGAATTGTCAACACGTTGGGAAGATGAAGAGGATGAATAAGAGGATAAGATCAAAATACCTTATTTACATAAGAGTACATCAAAATATATTATGTGCATTTATGAAAATGTCAGGATGTAACCCATTATTATACATAATGAATATGTTAATAATGTTAAAACACATTAAAAAAAGGACTTTTTAAGAGGCATCAAGAGATTGCTTAGTGGGTAATGGTGATTGGTGTCAAGGCTAACCACTTGAATTCTGTCCATGGCTGAGATCCATATGGTTCAAGAACAGACTCCTTTATTGTCCTCTCACCTTCATGACAAAATGCCTACCTTACACCTTACAGATAAGATGCTAATTTTTTAAAATTAAAAGCATGGATGTGAAAAAAATGATCCTCTTGGACAGTGTGAGAAATATGCTCATCATAGACCATCCCTAGAAGAAGGAGGGCTTTACTCTCCTGTCCTGTCAGTTACACCTTCTCAAGGTGTGCTAGGACCATGGAAGCAGAGTCTGTGAAACCAGCAATAGACTGTGATGAAAATGGATTCAGTGTTCCATAGTGATTGACATGAACAGCTAGTAACCTTCTTTTCTTTATATCCTTAGGAAGTCAGAGGAGCCATGGATCGGTGAGTTTCCATCATATCTCCAGGGTGTGGCATATGGAGATCTGGTGCCTATGAAATAGTGATGATGTGGGGATGAGTATGTGGATGCTGTTAGGGAGAGATGCCATGGATCACTTGGTTGGACCAGGTCATGTACTATGTGTAAGGAGAGAATGAGACTCTCTTTTCTCTTGGAAGGTGTGAGTCATTGTTGCTTCAATGTCCAGAGACCACCATCACGGAACTGAGCTTATGTCGCATCACCGGGATGAGGGAGATGCTGAGAAAATTCAGCAGTAAGTTCATTTCTTTGTCTGTCAGGCTCTGCTTGTTGTCACAGAGTCCTGGTCTTTTTTTTTGCCACCTTATTCTGTGATGTGTACACACCATCCACATGGCAGACAGTAACCTCATGCAGAGGATCCTGCTTTGTCAGCTCTCTTCCTGTTAGGATAAAAGCCGGGGTTACATTTTTCTGTTTTAATTTTCCTGTGCAGGCAGGCAGTGGGGGTGAGTGTAGTGTGTGTGTGTGTGTGTGTGTGTGTGTGTGTGTGTGTGTGTGTGGGTGCAGGGGTGTGTGCTTTTCCTG